ACCATGTTCTACCAAACTCTAGTGTTATGAGATGATCAGTGAAACAGGACTTGCCGGTCAAGGATTGCTCAAAGTGTTCCCTGCCTTCCCTGCTGTGTCCCTTCTTGGAAGCCATTACACACCCTGCTCTGTGGAACTCAAGAGTCAGTAAGATACTTGCCTTGGCCAATAAAATGTGATCAGGAATAATGTTTGTCACTTCTTAGCATAAGTTTTATGAATCAGCATGTAGTTTATCAACTCTCTTCCTTCTCCCAGAAAACCAGCACTGTTCCAGGTGGGGGCTGCTCGGCCAAGGTGCAGAGTAGGCAATGAGAGCAGAGCCACACATGACCCATGAATGTGAGCAAACAGGTAGATCTTTACTGTAAGCCCTTGACATTCACAATAAACAACCGTGTCCCTGAGATCCTAAGAATCAGATTCACTTCACTTACTCTACCATTGTAGTGTCCACTTGGTCACAGAATCCCTGAAATCCTGAGGATATTCTGAGAGAAGGGTCCCAGAAAACCCCACTGAAATGCTTCGACTCTCCATTCTACTCTATAGATTTAAAATTAGGCTGTCAATTTCTAGGGTTTTTAAAATCCAAAGAGAATCAGAGCCAACCAGGGGTCATATGTAATTCCGGTATTAGTCAATTCCTAGAATCCGAACTGAAAATAATTTAGCTTTCTGTTTTATTTCCCACGCTTCTCAATTCTTACAGACATGAAGTACTGAAAAGTTCCAAATGAACTTCCAGGCAAGTTTACCTGTGTAGATATCATTTCTACTTGTTAAACAATTGCAAACCGACTTATTTGTTGTCAATATTTGGAAATAGACAACACAACAGCCCAATGTTTGAAAATACATTAGAAACATGAGTGAAGTCACTTGTCACAAATAGTGCACTTTGACACACAATGCATGACCCAGCTGACTAATGGTACAGAAATTATTTTGGAAGAAGAAATTATAATTCCATCTCATGTTAGATTTCACTGAATTTTTACTGTTAAAAGCCATTAAAACAAAAAGAGGTTTGATTTTAAATGTACTTGGTAATATGAAAAGTGACTCAAAAATAACTAAAACTATGAGTAATTAAGACACTGGACATTGGGAGATTCTGGGTATAAGATTCTGAAACCATGTGCTGGTTTTAGGACAAGATTTTGTGTGGTCTTTCAGAAATGGGGGAAGGCGTGGCAAAACATTCTAGTCCTTTGCTGCAGAGATGGGAGATATTTAACATACGGGTCCCTGTGAAAGCTTGTCTGTCCTGTCCCCCACCTCAGAAGGGTCTCTATCAGCAGCCCTGAGCACCTCCATTGTGGCTGGGGTTCCCCTTCCTTTCTGAAGGTGGTACTTCCTGGGATGCATCTCCCGTCACCTCTCACACTTTCCATGCCTTCACAGGTGCAGTGAAAGTCTGCTGATCACATCTGAGATCTGCCACTCACTTTATAGTCTTCTCTACCTTGAGGTAACTTCTCAAGCAAGTCCTGCTGGTCCTAGTTGCTTGACCATACTTGCTCATAATTTGGTATTTTCCATAAAGCCAAATTAGCCTACTTGTGAAAATGCTTACTTTATAGACATTTCAGAATAGCACAGGAATCAACATGCATTAAGAACTTGCTCCTCCTCTCACTGTGAGTATACGCAGTCAAGAGAGGTCATTTGATTTGTCTGTTGCTAAATGCCCAAGTAAAACAAGGTGGGCATTTATGCTCCTTCAAATTTATAACAGATTCCCTCAGGAAGGAAGAGTCTTGGTGCTCCTTGGTTTAGAAATGGTTTATAAAAGCTCATTATCATGCAGACGCCAAAAAGGAGTGGTAGTCAAATTCTATCATGCCAGTTTACAAAATCCTAAGAAAATATGTTGATTAACAGACAGAGAGAAAGAGAGAGACGGAAGGAGATAGAGAGGTAGGGAGGTAGATAGATACAAACAGACAAGAATAAATAAGGGCAGTGGGGAAAGAGATGACATCAGGGGACTGTAACTGGGGAAGGACACACAGGAAGGTTGAGATTTAGCCCTCCTAGCATAAAAATTTTCAATTATAATCTTGGTTCTGCATTACTAATCAAACAATCCAGGGACTAGGATTTCCCCTTAATTGCACCGTCAGAACAGTGCTTCCATCTAAACACTCTCCTTTCCTGTTTTCCATTGCCATTCCTATCAATGACTGCCCAAGTCCTCTCCCTCTTCCCTTCACCACCATCATCATACAGTCCTCAGCCTTTGCTCTGCACACAGTGACTTCTAGACTCAAAACAACCTTATCTAAATGAAAATAGTAGCAAACAGTTTCAAAGAATGTTGTTTATTATTCTGAAGTCTGACAGTATCTGACTGTGAAAAATTGCTGTAAGGAATGGCCAATTAATAAATCAAACCTTCATCAGTTTAAATGCTATATTAATAAATTAGAAGAGTCTAAATTGGAGAAAACATTTAAGAAGCCCAGAAAATAATTTATGTTTAAAAACAACTGGTCTATTCAGTAGGAGATAACATTTATTTCTGGGAAATCTAGATCTTGTTTGATCTGAAACTGGTCTTCTTCTGCCACCAAGTGTTAGCATACACTTCTAACCCTCCAGGTTTTTCATTGTTCAAATCACAGAAACACAAGGTCACTCAATGAGAAAAATAAGACCAAAAGAATTCACTATAGAAAGCATGGAGCTGAACAAATAACAGACTAGCCATGCCAAACAAGTGCATTCTAAGGGAACTGCACAAAGAACTTGAACTTTATTTACTACTTTAGAGACACAGTAATTTCGTAAGATTTTCTAAGGCTTTCTTCATTTGATTAAAAAATTACAAAACACAGTGATCATCAGAATAGCTCTAAAACTGACAATTCCTTCCAATACTACCTCATGCAATATGCCCAACAGAATTTCATGAAATTAAGAATTGTGCAAAACTCATACACACATTGACTAAATGTCTCCTGGTGTGAGAAACCCATTGCCAAGAAAAGCCGTATGCTTTCCAGAATCTGTCCTTAGCCTCAGCCCAGTTCTCTAACTCGACAACCGAAATACCATGCTGCGGCCGATGAAGCTCCATTTCAGCAAATTCAAGAAAAACTGTTGTGTTTTCAAACTCCCAAATATAACATATAGAACTTTTAGCTACCCCTCTGGCTTTTGATTACTTCTCCACATGCTATTACCTGCAACAGGTGTCCTACCAGAAAACTGACAGGACCCCAAAAGCCTAGGGACTTCTGTACCATAATGGAGCACATTTTAATCTAAACAAAATACAATTTCATTTAAGTTTTATACACCAAGCAGGGACTACTTCTATTTTGCTCACCCTCTATGTTTAGCAACCAGTGCCCGGCATGCAATAGCCAGTCAAATATTTCTTGAATTATTATGATTTGGACCAAGAGAGCCTTATAAAATGGAGTTGGCCAGTAGGAGGAAAAACATGAGACTGAGAATGAGACAGATGGGTTCTCAGATGCAGAGACAAGACTATAACTATCAAGAATATGACCTCATTTAAGACATTTAATCTTTCTAAGTCTCATACCCTTTTTTTATAGGGTGAGGGAGTCTGAAATGTTGAAATATAGATTCTGGAGTAGTTTAAACATTCCTTTGAGAAATGTCCTTGGGTGCTTTCATTTCAAAGTTAATATTGAAAAGACAAAGAAACATTTGAAATAGGGATATTACCTTCACCACTGGTTTGTCACTCTGTGATTAAGTGTGAAACCACTTGGAAGAGTATAATCCATTTGAAAGCAAAACAAGAAAGATAACGAGTAAAAAGTGAACTGTCAGTCTATAAGTTTCTAAGTTGTTTTTCCACATTTCAAAATCTATGCAAAAACTGATTTATGTAAATCATTTTTAACTAACATATTCTGAAATCATACCTAATAACCTAGTACAGATATTACTGAGTTTGTGGCTTAAGTTATTTAAAAAAAACAGGCAAGATATCCCTTTGGGGGCATCATTCACAACAGTTGGTAGAAAACTCATAACCACAGGATGGTGAACCACCCAAACCCATGCTTTAAAAAACCAAAAGACTTCATGAGGACAGACATTAAGTACAAAATGTGTTCAATTTAGCAAAAAGTTCTAATAGCTAATGAACATGACCTTCATTTATAGAACTGCAAATGAGTCTTAACTGCAACAAAGGGTTCCAGAGAGCAGAAAGGGTATAAATCTGCAAGTCCATCTCCAAACTCTCGTGTAACAGAGAAGACCATGCTGGCTTAATTTGTAGGAAGAACCCCCTCGGCTGAAATGGGAAAAACAAGGAAGGTGCCCTTAGGATTCCAGGAGAAATTCTTATGGATTCATTACAAAGTCAAAAAGTATTCCAACCTCTGAAGGAGGTGGTGTGGCCTGGAAAGGAAGAAAATCACCCGAAGATAGGGGAAGTCACAAGACCTGTGCCTCAGTGTGTCACTGCTGACCATCCTTAGGGAAAGTTCTTGTAAGTCCCTTAGTTGCTCTCTCTCCCAGCCCCTTGCTCTGGGCTCTCATTGGAGGCAAAAATGAAGAGCACCATGGTCTTTCAGAAATCATGAAAGACCTACATAAAGTGGAGTTAAAAAAAAAAAAAAAGCTTCCCCGCTTGAAGAACCCAGTGGCAGTGAGCAGCACCATGTGCAGGCCAGCACAGGAAGTCTGAGACAGTAGGATGCTAGCAACCGTGAGCAAGAAGGCAGCACAACTGAACTCTGGCACCGCCCAGAGGCTCCTCAATGAAGCACTGTGGCAAGGGAAGAAGCAGTGGCAAGTGATGGCAGGTGTGCACCTAAGAGTTGCAGAGGCAAACAAGGCACAGCTGTGCGAGCCTCCATGGATGGCCTTGAGCATCTTCAGCATCCTGGGAATTGGAACAAACTGCCCTGGAATCCCAGATGCAATAGCAGTAGGGTGTCAGAAACTACCGTGAATGTCACTTGTGCCCCAACCCTGCAGAAGGGATGATAAAAACATGCGCTCACATTCTTACGAAGCATGCGTGCCTTTGACAATTTCATGAAGGTCAAGTGAGGCTTAAAACTTATACTTTCTCCTGCCAGGATGCCTTTTTCTTGAAATGTCCTTTTTGCAGTCTCTGAGGAAGAGAAAAAAGAAGACAAAAACGCTACTATAAAAAGACCATTGCAGAAGATAACTGATTATTACAATGAAGATTACCTTATACCTATTTGAATTTTTTAAAAGAAATACCACAATGTAGTAGTGACAAACACTATATGACAGCTAAAAATCTCCAGTGACTTCGAACATGGGATAAAGTACACAAAACACTAACTTGAAAAGAGACGACCGTCTAATAAAATAACTATTTGCCTGGCATGATTTTCATTGAACATCATAATGGTTTCTACACGTATACTTGCTGATCTGTAATCTGTATATCTAAACTTCTGCTTCTGACCAAGATGGGGTAGAGGAGCTCCCCTGAGAAATGAGAAATAAACAGGGTGGGCCCTTCAACTGCCCAGTTTACATCTCTAAGTACTCAGGCCTCTTTGTGAAAAGGACCCAGATGGAGCCCAGTCCTCCCTGGGGTGAGCAAAAAGAGCAGAGAGACCAAGGTAGCTTGTTCTCAGAGGACAGAGCACTTGAGATGTGAGAGAGACATGCCCCGAGCGAGAGGCTACTCCAGAGATTTGCAGTGTCCTCTAGAATATGCAGCCTAAAACAGATCAGTGCATTTCCTGGAAGAAAAATCGTTTCAAATGAAATAGAGACAATCGTGTCCAGCACTCACACAGAGCCAGAAATACTGTCAGTTCCATCAGCCAGACTGGAAGATTTAAGATTCTTCAGCCAGTAGGAAAACAAAATGGTCTTGCATAGTGATGGAAGTAACTAGCTCTGGATTGGTATTGCTGTAGTACTACCTAACAAGTCCTAGGAGCAAGACCAAAGAAGACAAAAGAACTAATACCTGACATCTAACCAAAACTCACCAGGCATGCCAACGAACAGGACAATATGATCCATAATGAGGAGACAGACCAACTAATCAAAGAGATCTCCTGTTAGAGTTAGAGGGAGGGGGAGAGGGAAGGGAAGAGGTATTCCTGACATTCAAGGTGTCAAGTAGAGGCATGCAAAGACCCAAGTCATAAAAAACACCAACTCTCTCATCCAGCAGTTTTTGCTTCCAAGATCAGACGAGATCGGGATCTTTCAGCGTGGTAAGGCCCTAGTACAGTAACAGACAAGACACTTACTGTCAATTGATACTAACGTATACCCATTTGGATTATAGTTCATTTATGAGTTTAATCACACAGTTCATGGTGTTACTGTTTTCCATTAGCTAGTCTTAAAATGCCTTTGTAAACATAAAATCATGGGTCAAGGGCTGTGGCTTATGCCTGCAATCCTATCCACTTCAGAGGTGGAGACTGGGAGTATCATGATTTGAGACCAGCCTGGGCAAAAGATTTATGAGCTCCTATCTCAGCCAATGGATGGGCACAGTGGTATATACCTGCCATTCCAGCTATGGTAGGGAAGTACAAATAGTAGGATTATGGCCCAAGCCGGCTGGGGCATAAATCGAGATCCTATCTCAAACACAGCCAAAGTAAAAAGGGCTGAGGGTGTGGCTTAAGTGGTAGAGCATTTGCCTAGCAAGTGAAAGGTCCTGAGTTCAACCCCCAGTACTGCCACAGAAAAGGAAAAGGTAAAACAATGGTACTCTAATTTCATAACAAAGTGTTTTAGAAATGATCCATATTAAAACAGGTATTTGCGATCCTAAAATGTATAAATCTCAAATTACATTCTTACAATGTTGTCTTCTTTATCAAACAGGATGATTTATTTATTTTTTATAATTTTTTAAAAATAAAATCAAGATAATAATTGTTTACACTAAAAACCATGCTATTTTAATTTATTTCATTTCTAAGCTATAAGACTCACTAAATATAATTTTTTAATCAAAATAGTCTATTCTTCTGTATTCCAAGGACTAATGGTGATTGCAGTGTCCACTGGCCACTGTTTTTTAAGTCAATGGACTTGAAAAGTATTCAGACATTTAGATAGCCAGACATAATTGCTAATTCGGCCACCTATTGGTGTTTGCATATTATCATATAAATGTATGTCAACATTATTCTATTTGTAATCTGTCTTTTTAAAACATTATTATAAATAGTTTTATTATGATTCAAGTTTAATTAAATAAAAAAGGTTATAAAAAGTGATGTGTATGTATATATATATATTACACACATACTTTTAAAAGTAGGTATATATCCTGACTTTTTAAAACAAGTTTGAATTTGAAAATACAATATATATTCATATACCTTATTGCTCTAAGTAAAGAATTTTATGCACTATTATTTTAAAAGACTCAAGTCAAGTTTATAGAGATGAAAACTTCAATGTCTGGGAAAAACAAACTGGATGGAAATAAAAAACCAATTAGACAACTGATGAACAAAAACAAATAGCAAACTTGAAGATAAAGCAATTAGAAAACACCAAAATAAAACAGAAAATGGGAATAAGAAAGAAAAAAAGAACAGAACATCAATGAGTTGTGAGGCAACTTCAAGTTGCCCAATGTAAGTGGAATCCTTAAAAAGGGGTGAGAGAGAGGCAGTCAGGAACATATATGAAGAAACAATGGCTGTCTAGGAATGAAAGCTGTCACAGCCACAAGGGAAAATAATCTGGGCAATAACCATGAAAATCTAAACTACAGGAGCATTTTAACCTAGCAATTCCAATTTGAGAAAAATACGAAGAAATAAAAGGTTCGTATGTAAGATTCAAGGTAGAAGAAACTTATTAAAGTTTCCTGAATTACTACAAACTAGAAATAACCTTCCACCATGAAATAGTTGATAAATTACCAAATGGCAAACTAAGGACTGTCATACTGCTGACAAAAAGAATCAATTAAAATTACACATACAGAACTGAAAGCTGAGTTTACATTAGCAATTTAATATTGCTAGGAGTGCACGAGCATCACATGAAAATACACAAATACAAGGACACCAGATGTGTGAAAAACTCATACTTTTCCAAAGCCGTTGGTAAACACTTTTTCATTTTATCTTTACCCAAAAGTAGGTAGCAATGACAGAGTTAAGTGAATGTTAAAAGACGAGAAAACTTAAACATTAAATGTCAATGCTCAAAGTCTTACTTCTTATGGGAGGTTGAAAAGGTACTGGAGTTGAGGTGGCCTAACTTTTACACTGCTCAAGTATCACTACAATTCTGACCTGAAACCTTTTTTTAAACTTTTTAACATTTTTTAAAGTAAAAGGTGTTTTTAATGCAAACTAGAGTCAAAAGTATGCCTTAATTTTAACCACAAATTTTGTTGGAGTCTACAGATTAGTAATGATGCACATAATTATAACCAGAAATGCTTGGCTGAAAAGAGCCCAGTACATCTCTGCCCGAATATTTCTTACACAGTGTAAGATTTCAGTTTTTCTGCCTGGGACTTTAAAATGAAAACAGATGCATGAGTGAACAAAACCAAGATCCCATACTAACCTTCCTAAGGAAATGAGAGGTTCTGCTGTAATGACTGGTTCCTATGAAAATAGCAAAATAATGTGAATAAAATGCAGAGAATAGCAGAGTTTCAAAATGGAAATGCCTGTTCAAAAGAAAAAATACACAGATGTATTTTATTTACTAATTAGCATAATTTTAAGTGCTAAGGCCTAAAATCTTTGACTTTTATTCTAAGTATGATATGGGAATTTTCAGGGTTTTCAGCAAGGAAATGTATATGTGGGAATAACTTTCTTTACCCATCTACATTTTAACTTGAGTAGACGTTTTGAAACCTTGGGCAATTCAAAGCTCTCTCTTTCCCAGGGACTGTATCTTTGATGAAGAAAGCAATATGGACTATCACAGTGTTTTAGATTAGGGAGCTGAGGGGAGAGAGCACTTTGGTACTGTGTCACCTTGGGACATCTCCTGAGACAGGCACCATGCTTGACTTCTGCAGCTGGATCCTCCCTTGTTCCCATATACAAAGACTTTCTGCAACTTCAGTACCTTCTCAAGAACACAAGATTCCATTTTACCACTCACCACCCCACCCCAGGGCAAGCAGGAAGGGCTGTGGAGGCCTTTCATTGCCTCTTGCTATTCTTGACATGGAAACAGAAGAGCATCCTAGACCGAGGTGGAGAGAGGCACTGTGGGGCCACTCAGCACAGGACCTGGCATCATTCTCTCTCCTTTGCCTCCACTGACATGCTGGGCGCACAGGAAGTCTGGCTCTGCTGCTCTGTGACACTTCAGGATGGAGCACAGGTCACTCCTGTCTCAGGCTTAGCTGGTATTCCACTATTTTGTTCACAAAATAGTGCTGACAAGAACTCACACTTCTTAACACTCTTCTTCACCCAAACTAGAATCTCTTCTCTAGCAACAGGGGCAGGAAAAACTGATTATTATGTTTAGCTTCCAAAACCCCAAAGCCTTTTCTCTGCTTTTCTAGCTGTATTTTCAAGAGTGTTGCTGTCTGAGATGGGCTGGGCATAGAATAAGGAATATGAGAAACCTGAGGAAAAACTCAGTTAATATTTCAAAATATTACTCCATCATCCTTTCAAAATCTGTTATTTTACTTTATCAATATTTACAAAATGCTGATATGCACTAATTGTGACTTTTTATTCAGTCTGTAAACCCTCCACTACCAATCACCACCACCAAATTTTCTTTTCCTGTCTATTATGGTAATAAAAGTTAAGTGACAGACCACTAAAATACTAAGAAAACACTAGTTGTCAGTTGTAAGCTACAGATGGCAATTTTGGCTGAATGGAACAGGAACAGGATTTCACATAAGGGCACTAGGAAAGCCAGAAGCCAGACTGGAAGGCTGGGAAGCCAAGGAGATGCCAACAGTTCCAGTGGGGACCAGGAAAGTGAGGACACCTCCTCTTCCACTGAGCACCAGGTGCCACAGCTGGAACGACTAAAACCATAGACAGCACAAAGGGGGCTGGTACTGTTGCCACTTGCCCTGGACAGTGGTCGCTACTTCTGATGATGCACGTATGCACAGAACACATTCCTCATTCTTCTTCCACTTGC